CAGAATCAGAATCAGGTTTATTGCCAAGTAGGTTTTTAGACTTACAAGGAATTTGACTTGGTGTTTAGTGCACAACACAACACTTCTATGAGAAGCAAGAATAAAATGTAGAAATAAAAATATAGGACAGAAATGATAAAACTGAAAAATACAATCTTTAAAAATATAGATCCCCCTCTCTACTGAAACAGTCTCTCCTTACTGAAAAAGGACTTTCACATATCAGAATCAGAATCAGAATCAGAATCAGAATCGGGTTTATTGCCAAGTAGGTTTGTAGACTTACAGTATTTTCCGCACTATAAGGCGCACCCAAAAACTCAAATTATCTCAAAAGCCGACAGTGCGCCTTATATTCCAGTGCGCCTCTACTGCAGCGTCTATTGTATGCGCCTTATAATGCGGTGCGTCTTATTTATGGGCGGATTTTTAAAATAGGTCGTTCATTGAAGGTGCGCCTTATATTGCGGGAAATATTGTACAAGGAATTTGCCTTGGTGTTTAATGCACAACACAACACTTCTATGAGAAGCAAGAATAAAATGTAGAAATAAAAATATAGGACAGAAATGATAAAACTGAAAAATACAATCTTTAAAAATATAGATCTGAATGTACAAATGAACAATCTTTAAAAATATAGATCCCCCTCTCTACTGAAACAGTCTCTCCTTACTGAAAAAGGACTTTCACATATCAGAATCAGAATCAGAATCAGAATTAGGTTTATTGCCAAGTAGGTTTTTCACCTACAAGGAATTTGATTTGGTGTTAGGTGCACAACACTTCTATGAGAAACAAGAAACGACATACAATGTAGAAATAAAAATATAAAAATATAGAATAAAATAAAATAAATAATAATAATAATAATAAATAATAAAATAAAATATTGAATGTCCAACGACAAACCAGAAAAATGTTGAACGTAGTATTGGGTAAATTAGTGAGGTAGAGGGGGGTGAGAGAAGAATAGGTGGGGGTCACATTTAAGGGTGGCAAGTACTTCGTTACTGTACTTAAGTACAATTTCCGTGTATCTGTACTTTACTTAAGTAGATTTAATAATGGATACTTTCTACTTTTACTCCACTACATTTAACAGTAAGTATCTGTACTTTTTACCTCACTACATTTCTACACAGCGTTTCGTTACTCGTTACATCCAAGACGCATCTCGGTTTTTTGATTTGTTCGTTAGTTTGAAAGTATCCAATGGCGAGAGCAGAATCAGTCCGCTGGACCAATCCAAAGCGGGAAATAACCATTAGGCCCTCCCTCAAGAAGAGCAGCATAAAATATCTAAATCTAAACTGTCACAGGGGGTAAACACAATAAAAACATGCTTTATCTGCAGCATTGCTCATTAAAATGGTACATTACTGATTTATTCAAACTAAATACGATAGGTACACTTAATGACATTATATAAGCCGTTAGGTATGGTTGGCAAGTACTTTTACTTTTAATACTTAAGTAGTTTTAAAAGCTTGTACTTTCTTACTTTTACTTAAGTAAAATAATAATGTGGTACTTTGACTTTTACTTGAGTAAATTTTTGTCGGTGTGTTTGTACTTTTACTTAAGTACATTGTATGAGTACTTTCTCCACCACTGGAATACAGTCAATCACCACCTTTATTTCTCTATTTCTCTATTTCTCTCTGCACTTTGGAAAAGCAAAACACACCTGGGCCACCACCTCGTAGCTCCTTCCCGTCACGAACCCGTTCAGCAGCACGTGCACGGACGTCCGGAAGGCCTGCAGGGGCGCGTCCGGGGCCTGCAGGGCCTCCGCGATATCGCAGCACATCTGGGTCAGCAGCTGGGTCCGGCCCCACCGGCCCAGGCTGCAGCCGCAGGGGCACAGGGGCTGCTCCGCGTCCCTGAAGCCCGTCAGGTCCACCACCCCAAGGGTCCTGGAGTAGGTACTCGAAGGGGACAACACGTAATCCTTCAGAAAGGGAAGAAGAATAAAAACTCATTTTTAAAGTCCAAGTCATAAAAAAAAATAAAAAAAGAAAGGGAAAAAGAAATGTATTCAGAAACTGATGTGATTATCACACGTAATCCTTCAGAAAGGGAAGAAGAAATCTATTCAGAAACCGAGACGATCAATATCTGCTTCAACCAGGTAAAAATACAGTTCGCCCACTTACAAAGAATGCTTATTTTTCCTCATCTATGAGGAAAGGGAAGAAGAAATGTATTCAGAAACTGATCTGATTATCACACGTAGTCCTTAGAAAAGGGAAAAAGAAATGTATTCAGAAACTGAGACGATAATCACACATAGTCCTTAGAAAGGGAAAAAAAAGTTATTCAGAAACTGATCTGATTATCACACGTAGTCCTTAGAAAGGGGAAAAAAAAGAAATCTATTCAGAAACTGAGGCGATCAATATCTGCTTCAACTA